ATTTAATAATCGTGGGAAGGGATTATCACCATTACTTGCAATGCCAGCCAAGATGCGTTCTACAGCTCGCATTTCCGACTCGGGCAGGAGAAGGGCCCAAAACGCCTGATCTTCGTCCTGGCAACACACATGCACACTCACGGAGACACACAAGTTTTGTCTATATGCAGGCATACATACATCTCCACGCACAGGTATATCTACGCGCTAGATGTACATTACTATGTGCACATGGAGTTGGTTGTTTCAAGGTGCAACAGCAGAGCATACATACATGTATACATGCATCCATCCATGCATACGCGTATGTACAGTACATACATTACAATACAGCGCATTACAATAGTACACTGCATCACCACACATAGCAACACAATACTACGATGCATATCTACATATAGACATGCATGCATGCATGCATGCATGCATGCATGCATGCATGCCATGCATACAGACATGCCCGTACATGCAAACAGACAGCACTGCGCTGTATGGCATGGCATAGCATGGTATGGCACTGCATGGCACGGTAATGCACCGCATCGCATTGCATGCTTGCGCGCAAAACTACATGCAGACCTGCGCACATTGACATCTACGAATGCGCATATGCATGCAATCATGTTTCTTTGATCGAGTTGCCGAAAGCTTAGGCTTAAACTTCCCCAGGTCTCGCTTGCTTGCTCTGGGCACAGGACGCGAATTCGCGAGCCTTCTGTGCCTTTCTCTCACTCTCTCTCTCTCTCTCTGCATATCTGGTGGACATCGCTATCCCCAGCAGCTCCAGCAGGCCGATCTCACGAAGAGCCGAGGCCACAGTGGCATCCTCTGGGAAAGAGGCAAGGAGTCGGGGAGACGGATACAAGGGGAGCTGTGATGCACCTCTTGACATGTCTGGCAACTGATCTAGGCAAGACCGTTTCCTCCACGCTGCTCAGCACCCAGGTGGGTGGCACAACTTGCCTGCTCCGGCGGGGCAATCGATAACTTCCAGCCACGTTTCTGTTCCTCAAACAGCATGGCACCTCAACCTGTAGCCTTGCACCAGAGCTTGAAAGAACCGCGGAACACAGTCTTCCCAAAATTCACGCCCAAAGCCAGTGGTTAGCTCGTGCCGAAGACCGCGAATTAGCAACAAGCGCTGATCTTGGGCTTGAAGTAGAGAGGGCTACCATCATTATTTTTCTTCGTGCTGTGATTGCTCTTGCAGGAATGTACGGCCCTCCTCCCACTAATTACTATGACAGAATCCGCCTGGCCCTCCATCGACGATGCTTTTCCGAGTAGCCTCAAGGCTACTGCACCACTCATCTATCTCTATCTTGTCTCGCGATCACTAGAGTCACTAAAGATTCCTTCTTCCATTCATGAGGACGCAATCGTATCCGTGTGAAATGCCCGCGCAATCGTAGTGGATGCTTCAACCCGGAAGCTCCCACAAGTCTGGAGCATGCACTCGGACCTGGAAGGCCAAACTCAATGCCTGCAACCGCTCAGCGATCCACATCTTCCAGACTAAGCAGCCGAAGCCGAACTCCAGCAGGACGCCGTATGTTACCGGGCCCATGCCGCCTGGCTTTCCGGAGCTTGCAGCTCGGCATGCAAAGAGAGCAGCAGGGACAGGTATCTTGATGGAACTGATGCACTGAGAACTGGGAAGCCTGATCCCAAAGGTTAACCTGACACAGGACGAACGCCCCCTGCGATGAAAACAACCAACCCTGTCAGTGCAAAGGGCCTTGCAAGCGCTTCTCCACACCCACGGCGAGAACCTGCGCCTGCAGGTTAAGATCTGGAAGCTCTGACATAAGTTTCATGAACTTCCGAAGGCATCTCGAAGGTCAGGGACCAGGAAAGGGTGTGAACTTGCACCCTGCTAAAACAAGCACCCTTGTTCCCTCCGGTGCATCCCTTCTCCGCGCTGCACGCCTCACGCCAGCTGCGCGATTTCTGGCCATGGACATAGAAGTGTGCACGAACCCTCAGGGCCAGCAAGCTTTCAATTCACACAGATGCCGCATACATCCCCATACCATACTGGATGCCTCGTCTACATGTTAGGAGGCCGCTACATGTTAAGAGGTCGGCCTCATGGTTTACTGGTGTAGCTTTCGATCGTGCAGCCTTCAAAACATCCAGCCCCACAGGCTCATCCCTGGCCGAATGACAGACCATTGCAACCTGTCTGAGAGTCTCAGCATGCGGAACTCAGCTACCAGCACAGGTTCCAAGACTTCTAGCTCTTGTTCCAGTCCGTCGCCTTGAGCCGACCGCTAAACCTGCATGGTCGCAAACGTCCTGCGCAGAGACATGATTTCAGACTGTTCGACTACTGACCTGGGGATGTGAGCTGCGTTGTCGTGCCTATTTATCTGCACACACACACACACACGCAAGCCCACGTGCATACAAACATAGAAACATTCTTGCATTGATCCAGGCTAGCATGCATATATACACACATGCATCAGCTTTATGGAGAAAGGCGCGCAGAGAGAGAGAGAGAGAGGAGAGAGACAGCATGTGTGTGTGTGTGCGCGCGTTCGTATATACAAGTATGTATGTGTATGTGTGTGCGTGTATACCTATATATATATACACACATATACATACAAACTTAAATACAAATCGAAATAAGTTCATATATACATATGCACATGTATATATGTGTATATATGAGTGTGTGTGCAAATGATCAAGATGAGAATTCAGTCCAGTTATGATACACGATGCCTTTACGGTACATATAATACAGATAAGGTCCCCACGCACATGTACACCTACGTATGCATATAACATGTGTATGTATGTGTATATATATATGTATACATATATGTAGTATATTATATATATATGGCTCCCGAAGGCGAAGCCCGAGGGCTTCACATGCCAGGTGTACACGCTGCCTCTTCGCCGCAAGCGTACCCTCAAACCAACACCCAAAAGAAACACCCAAACCCCAACCCCAAACAGCTTCCTGGGCATGACTTGTGTGTGACACCAAGGCAGTTGCACGGCAAGTTCTACTCTCCCGCTTCACTCAGTTCCAGCTACAGTCTCAGGGCGAATAGGCTGAACAAGCCAAAGTCTATACACAGGACTCAAGGCTCCGTTCTCAGTTCAGAAAGGCTTTTCGTGTCAATCGACTATCTATCTATCTGTATATACATATATATATATAATATATCTATATCTATATCTATATGTGTGTGTACATACACACACACGCGCACATACAAACATGCACGCATACATACATAAACATACGTGCCTATGTACACTTGTACGCACGTGTGTGTATGTGGTCGGGCGTCCTTCGTTCCCAGACCCCCTCCCCAATGGAATGGTCTGGTAGGGGTAGAGGGGGTTTTGGGCACTTGCGGGCTGTTTGACATTACTACGCTGCTTACACAGCAAGCAAGAGCCAAACAAACTGCGTCAAATAGTCGCTGAAAGTCGCCATCGTTCTTCCCTTGTCTCACTTATTGCTACCAGAATACGGCTATCATGACGACGACGACGACAACAACAACAACAACAACTACTACTACTACTACTACATACTACTCTACTACTCTACTACAACACTACTACTACTACTA